TTGGTCGCGAAAATGGCTCAATAGAAATTTGGAATCCGCTTAATGGACGCTGGCACCACGAACTCACAATCCCTGGTGGTGAGGGGAGACACATTGGGGCGCTTGCGTGGACAGTTGAAGATCCTGATGCTGGACTTTCGGGGTTGAGATTATTCTCAATTGGGTATTCAACAGAGGTGACGGAATGGGACCTCACGAATGGAAAGCCGAAAAGGCATGTTGATTGCCATGGAGGCGCTCTGTGGAGTATTGCGGTCCAACCTCTGGCGACTTCGGATATTGAAGATGAAGACCAAAGGGCGCAGAAAATTGTGGTTGGTACGGATGATGGAACCGTAAAGATTTTATCAACCGCTGGTGGAGACCTGTCGTTTGACCGCAACCTCATGCGCGCTGGTCCCACAAAGGCTAGGGTGTTGGCACTTGCGTGGAAGAACAGGAATGTCGTCGTGGCGGGAATGGCGGATTCTATGTTGAGGGTGTGGGACATCAGGAGTGGTCGCAGTGTTGCGAAGATGTCGATGGGAAGAGAGCGGAAACGCGATATTCTTGTATGGGCGCTCAAGGTGACGAAAAATGGGGAGATAGTTACTGGCGATTCAAGAGGAGAGATAAGTTTCTGGGATGGCGGTAACTATACTCTCAAACAGAGAATTAAAGCCCATGATGCGGACGTGTTGGCTCTTGAGGTTGGAGGAAAGAACGGAGAGTATGTGATGAGCGGAAGCGCAGATATGAGGACATCGTTGTTCAGATCAACTGGGAAGGGAGGAAGATGGTCAGAAGTTGCTCACAGACGCGCACACAAACATGATGTGCGTGCAATTGCTGCCTTTGAGTCTGGTCCATTCAGCATGGTTGTGACGGGAGGTATGAGATTTCCAACACCAACCGTCCGTTCATCTGCTAATCTTCTCACCCCTAGGTGTTGACATGACTCCTGTCATGACCAGCTTTAAGAGTTTTGCGACCGATCGGCACGTCAACCTTCCTCTCGTTCCTCAAAAACCTATTGTATCAACACTACCAGAGCACCGCATCCTGATGAGCTTTTGGGAGCGGGAAATCAAGATTTGGCGTGTTGACGAGCTTGCGGAGTCAAATCCAGATGTTCTCCCAGACGATGAGACACAAGGGAGGACGTTGTTAAGCAGGATATTGTTGAGTGTAAGTCAATATCGAACACCTCATGAAGCCATTTTGCTGACCAATATCAGAATGATGAGTACATAACGACTGCATCTCTTACCACAGTCCCTGGGGGCTCCGGATTTTTACTTGCAGTTGCCACAGCAGGCGAGATCAAGCTCTTCCACTTGCGCTATCGGAGAAACTCCAAGTCAACCCTCCGGGTCAACAAGCTCCCTCTCAGTACCCTCCCGTATGATGAAGTTGATTCAGAGGACAATTCATCAGATGATTCCACCCAAGAAGAACTCGATCTCACCACTACTGGGGCCCGTTTCCTCACCTTCTCCCCTAATGGGCACCACCTTCTTATTGTTACTCTTGACTCTGAAGTCTTCCTCTTCACCCCCTCTACCAGCAAACTTCTCCAACTTCCTTTAGCATCCGCCACGGTCCCTGAATCTTCCATCAGTTGTGCGAGCATCTCTAACACACACATCGCCCTCTCCACACTATCTGGCGACATCTACACCTTCTCCCTCCATCCCAAAACCCAAATACCCACTCAACTTCCATCCCTCCCTCGCCTCCCCTCTGCTCCAGCACTTCTCTCCCTCCGCCCCAACGGACATGATCTTTTAGTGATGCCCAGCGACTCTCGGCACCTCCATCTTTTCAACCTCGCCACAGGCCGCTTGTCAGACTGGTCTCGCAACAACCCCAACCCTCCTGCCGCCTTCAAGACCGTCAACGCTTATGACCAGCCCATCAACCACTATTGGGAGCCCGCCGGAGAGCGAATCTGGGTTCACGGCGCAAACTGGGTCTGGATGTTCGACTTCTCCCGGAATTGGCCTGACAGCTTGGCGCACAAACACCAACAAGAGGCATTCAAGCGGCGACGGGACGGCGAACCTATTACACCTTCATCGGAATCTCAAGAAGAATCAATGGCGCTCCAAAGAGTACAGCCATTGAAGAAAGAGAGAGGGCAGAAGCCGTTCTGGGGGAGTCTGAGATATAAGGGTTTGTTGGCATTTTTACCGCTAGGAACCGGAGAGATGGTGAAGGTTGCGCCGGAGGGCGATGATGTGAGCGGAAGGGATTATGAGATGGTTAAGGCAGTTGAAGTCGCAGTTGTGGAGAGGCCTGTATGGGATGCTCATAAGAGTTTACCGCCGCGGTTTTTCGATGGGAGGAAATGAGGAAGTGTAGGGGGAGATGTTGAGAGGAAAGAAGGATGTGGATGTCAAAATTCATGTAATACGGAGTTAATTCGGAGTCCCAAAAGTGGTTATTCGAAGGAGTCTTACGATGTTTTTGTTCATTCGAATGCCATGATTGATGAGGTTGCATGTGGTGTCGAGTGTGTGTCTCTACGAGCTTCAGCCAGTAGATGTCTTCGTCACCTTCCTCTGTTCTCCTCTAAATCCATCTCAATCACCCCGCTCACCGTAGGTATCTACATCCGCATTTCCAGATTTGTAACCAGCCTCGGCTCGTAGCCATCATCACCCTTGTAAACCCCACACTTCGTCACACCTCCCATGTGGAGCCGACTAATGTCCGAGAACATGCAGCTCTTGGGAGCAGGGAGCTTTAATAAGAGCAGTCTCTGGGGTCGCCATAAACATCACGATTGTCCGAATTCTTGCCTCTATCAACACCAATGGCGACCCAATGTCCAGATAAAGTGACCCTGGTGATCGGTGGTTCTCGAGGCATCGGCCGCCAGGTTGCCATCGATTTTGCGAAAGCTGGATATGCTGGTATGCGCTGGTCTATAATAAACAATACACTAAATCCTTTGTGAATCTAAAATAACTTTGTTGGTGAAAGTGGTTGTCTCTGGACGCAGCGCAAACGATGCCAGCACCGTCGCCCCGTTTCCACCGAATCCAAATTCCCAGCAATCAACCATCACGACGGTCACGCGCGAGATTCAAGAGCTTGGAGGGATTGCGGCCGCAATTCCAGTGGATACTAGGGACGAGAAGAGTGTAACGAAGTTAATTCAAGATACTGTTGCGGTGTGTTTACCTGTCCATTGCTTCCTTCCAACCCCTGCTTCTGCTGGAATAATAATGGTCTAACATATGGTCAAAATAGACTTTCGGCCGCATTGACGTCCTCATCTATAATTCCGGCGCGATTTGGTGGTCTTCTGTTGCTGGGACACCGTACAAACGCTACAAGCTCCTTCAAGCCGTGAATGCCGATGGTCTTTATGCCAGTATTCAGGCATCGCTACCTGTCTTCGAAAAGCAAGGCTCGAAGGGAAGAATTATTGTGGTTAGCCCGCCGATTTACTCTCGCTTCTTTAGAGGGAAAACGGCATACTCTATGGCGAAGGTTTCCATGAGTGTGCTTGTCAAAGGATTAGCGATGGATTGGGAGCGCGAAGGGAAGAAAGATATGGCAATCACGAGCATTTGGCCTGCTTCGGTATGTGTACTTTTGTCATCTCCCTCTTCCGCAAAACTTAAAAAACATTAACTAACATGGCCTTGGAACCCAGTCTATCGATTCAGCAGCGACAACCAACTTCAAGGAAACGAACCCAGATGGCGCTCGCCAGTTACGCAAGCCCACAATCTACTCGGACGCTATGTTAGCCATTGTCAGAGCGCCAGCCGAAAAGGTTAATGGGCTTTTGACGCTTGATGAAGATTTTTTGAGGGAGTTTGAAGGCGTCACGGATTTTTCAAAGTATGCCCTGGTTCCTGGGTCAACTCCTCCACGAACAATGCCTTTGGAGTTTCCAAACTTGAGGGTTAAGGAACACGATGATGAGGGGAATCGGATTGATAGTAATCTCATTAGGAGGTCGAAGTTGTAAGGTACGTTACTATTTTCATAGCGCAGAAGGACCAGAAGCGTTATTCAATGGCGATATTTTTGTGTATGAAATGAATCAAAGGCGAAGAATCACTGAACATTCTTCATATCTGAAATCCGATTGGGTGCACCGTAACACGACGGAACCCGTGAATTGAAATAACTTGGGATTTTTTAATTCAATGGGGTAAGCATTGTTGTGGTATATCAGACGAATTGAAGGCAGCTCTTTGGGTCAGTCACCCGTTGCTTCCAAATGAGTTGATTGATTGATTGATTGATTGATATCATTTAAGCGCATGCGTCCCTTTGGGATATGGCGCGTCACCTACTCTACAACCTCCGCCCTCCCCCTCTCCTTTTAGTTCTGCTTCTTACAGGCCTTCTGAATACATCGAGGTTCGTCCACAGTCAACCCTATTTCTCGCCGACCCTTCGCACTAGCGATGGCCGCCTTTTGAGTTGTGCAAGCAAGCTGCTACGCACATTCTCTCCTCTTCCTTTTCATTTTAAAGTGTATCACCTCCTCTCCGCTCTCTATTACCTCCTCTCGGCGTCTCCCACTTCTCTCTCATTCTTCCTCGGTTCCAGCTTCTTCCTCTACTTGCTCTCCCCACCCCCACTCTTCCTCCCGTCTCTCTTCTCTCTCTTATTTACGCATCGTTCTGCACCTTCCCCACGTTCGTGGTTTCCAGGTAATGCAGAATGGCCGCTGTAGCCCTTCGATACGCGAAAATGGTGGCGAGTGCGTGTCTTTTTGTAAGGCCAACCTGCTTTAGGTCTTTCCACAGCTTCTCCTGTTGTCTTCTCCAGTGTCTGCATTCTTTGAAGAGGTGCTCTCGGTTCTGTCGAGGGTCTCCCCAGAAAACTTCCACCAGTCTTTGGTCGGGGACCAGGGGTCTGAGCTCGTATACATATGCGGCTCTTATAGCCTTCTCACGTTCTTCGATATGTATTGAGCTATGAGCAGATAAGTTGATCTGCACTCATACTAACCCATATATTTTGTTGCAATAAGAATATGACAAGAACATCCCTTTGTGGTGTAGTTGGTATCACACCCGGCTGTAATGGAAAATTGTCACCGGTTGGTCACCAGTTCGACTCTGGTCGAAGGGATATTTCTTTTAATCAAATATTTTTTTTTTCCTTATCGTTTTGGCCACTAAAAGACGCCCGGCAACCGAGGGGGATCCATCTCAAAATTTCGCTTTTACATTTCATCATTATTATGCGCCATTAAAAAAGTATATTGCTGCTGGAACACCAATAAATATCTCATTAAAAATTATGTATCTAGAAGCTCGACACGAATCCATGGAACAATGGTGTATCAAATTTACGGCAGAGAAACCACCTGGACAAACACATCGTCAACATTCGCCTCCTTCGCCTGGCCAGTTCCACCACTATAGGTGAACTCGATCCTAAACACAGCAGTCGCACTAGTAGTAGAGAACATGCCGGACCCAATCGTCGAAGAAGATGTAAAGGAAGTGGCCGTGATGATGCCTCCAGCAAGCGGTGTACTATTCACATATGCCACCGCGGATATGGTCCCTGAGCTGGTCGCCCTTCTGGAAGAGAACCCGACACGGTAGGTGGCGCCCGGGCAGAGATCGAGCGCCTGAACAATGTTTTGTGGGAGATTGCCGGTGGTGGAGCTGGTGCGGGAGCGGAGGGAGTAGGAACCACCAGGCGTGGACGAACCGGTAAAACGTTCCATCGTCACATCGGGGCCAGTGGTGATGGTGACCCAGTTGTTGATGAGGGATGACTCAAAGGAGGGGTTGGCGAGGATGTTGCTGCCGATTGCGATATTGCAGGCGGGATTTAGGGCGGATGGGGATGGGATTGCGGTAGTGGTGGTAGTGGTGGTAGTTTCAACGGTGGATGGAGGATTGGTAGTGGTTGTCGTAGTTTCCACTGTGGACGGTGGGTCGGTAGTAGTAGTGGTTGTGGTGGTTTCAACAGTCGATGGTGGTTCGGTAGTGGTTGTAGTGGTGGTGGTTTCGACGATAGATGGGGGGTCAGTAGTGGTTGTGGTTATGGTAGTTTCCACTGTAGAGGGTGGGTCCGTAGTGGTAGTGGTAGTAGTGGTTTCGACCATGGAGAGAATGGTGGATGGTTCATCGGTAGTCGTGGTAGTCGTGGTGGTTTCAACGGTTGAAAGAACGGTGGAGGGAGGATGTGTAGTTTCCACAGTAGACAACACAATAGATGGCAGATCTGTAGTGGTTGTAGTAGTCGTGGTCTCGACTGTTGACAAGACGGTAGTCGGGGGTTCAACTTCAGTGGTGACCTGGGTATTTTCAACCGTGCTCACGACTGTGCTGGCGGGTTCCGTCGTAATCGCCGTGGTTTCAATTGTTGACTTTTCCGTCGATGTTTCAGTAGTTGTTGTCGTGGTGGTGGTAATGGTGGTGGTGACATGGTCGGAAACCAACGTACTGGTGAGGGTGATGTAGATATCACTTCCCGGGGCGAGGATTGTGCTGGGAATACCATCAACAGTGTGTGTGGATGTGACAACTTCTCCCGACAAGGTAACGCCAGGGAGCGTAGTCGTTGTCGTCTTCTCAATAGTCTATAGATATATTAGCCTAGAAATACGTCAAAAATTTGGCGGTGTCTCACCACAGGGCGAGAAATGACGGATCCATCAATTATTTCATACATAATGGAGGTAACGGTCTCTCCAGGAAGAGTGGTGCCCGGGAGAGTGGTAGTTACAGTGTTGACAACAGTCTGATGAACCGTTAGCTTATCATCTTTGTCGTCAATGTCCAAGATAAATCTTACCACCGGGTAAGGAACGACAGATCCATCAATCGTGGTGTATGCAATTGAGGTGACCACATCCCCCTTCTCCGTAGTGGTGATTATCTCGGTGGAAACATGTCCATCGGCACCAGTCACAGTGACAGTCTTAGGTGGTTCAATAATGGTCGAAGTACGACCTCCGGGCCCAGGCACAAAGATCGTCTCAGTGGAGACATGACCATCAGGCCCTGTAACCGTGATGGTTTTTGGTGCTTCGATGACGGTTGAGATGTGGCCTCCAGGCCCAGTTACGGTGACCGTCTTATCCTCTCCATAGCCACTATACGTTTCCACACATTAGCTATGGGGGCCCCGAGTTTCAAACATAGCGCTTCTACTCACCCAACAGTCTTTGTCACTGTAATCGTCGCTGGCGCAGGGCACGAGTCAATCGACGTGATATACCTCGTAACCTATCCCCAGTCAGCCAAAAATCCTCAAATCACCTCTCATTTCATACTGTAGCTGTCTCCTCCGCAATGGTACTCCAAAGCGTGGTCGTCTTGCGGCGACAGCACTTCTTCTTCTTTTTCCTATCACGCTGATCGCGATGTTCCCACTTCCCATCGTTTCCACCATCGTAACCGCGTCGTTCTAGGGATGTTGCGCATCCAGGGGCATTGGGGTGGAGTTGAGTAACCGCAGCCCAAGAAACGGACGCGAGAGCGAGAAGAAACACCGATCTCATTGGGTTGTTGTTGTGCTAACAAATACGCTGGTTGTCGATCACGGAATATCGTGGGCTATCGGTTGGTCTTTAAAGCAAAGCCCCGGGATTTGTAAAAGTGATTTCGACGCAACCAACTTCGTGGACTGATGATTGACGATGTGACGGAAGTCGTATCAACAGGTACCAGGAGAGAAAAATCAATATGGCAGGTTGGAGGTTTTGTATCGCGACACAGGAATGCCATGATAAGGGCGACGGGCCAAATTAGGAGCATGCTGTTGGTCTGTGTTGGACGAAACCTCACGAACTAGGATAACGCTGGAGGTCTGGAACAGTCCTGATGGTGATATAACTGGTGCGGCTGAGAACTGGAGAGGTACAAAAGTGTGCCACTGCTGGGGTCCGGTTAGTGTTTGGTGCACGAGTATCATGCAGGAACAACATGAATCCCGACCATAAGGAGAGGAAATGCATGTTTGAAGGCGTTGAACTTGATCCTAGTCTTTCGGAATTGAGACTATACATCGAGATGGTGGGTAGTAATAAAGGCATTCGGCATCTTAACTCCTAACAACAATCAAACCAGAGTTCGACCTTGTTGAACGTGGTATGAAAATCTTGTTGCCTATGCTGGCTTCCTCTGTCGGCACAAGCGATTCGATAAAGTGTATCCACTGGTATCAAATCTAAATTCGTGTCAAGGAAGGAAAGCCTCGTCCAGTTCATGAAGGATAATAGGATCCAAAGCCTTGTTTGATTGAACAGAAGGGCCCGTGAAATCCCTCGAATGTTATATTGATCCCTAGGTCACCATGTCCAAGCCTATGGCTGTATCGTTGAGTTCATGATGAACTCCATCCATCCTTTCATAATTCATTTACTCGCCGACATACTTCCACAAATGGTCTCCCAGGTAGTGGCACGCCTCTACGCCCACGCCATCATTGATCCTCGCAATCTCCTCGCTTGTCATCTTCATAATACCCACCAAGCACGCATTCTCCTTTCCCTCTCCCTTCACGCCCACAACCGCTCCCTTCTCCAACCCATCCACCATCTTAGCGCCAGCACTGGTCAACCCGGGACACATCAAGTGGGCGCCCTTCAATATGAATCTCGTTGCGCCTCGATCGGTTTGAATGATCGGGAAGCAGTCCGGGTATTGGTGCACGATTCTGAGATGAGGAATCAACTGATCATCGAAGTGTTGGAAGAATAGCACCTGGCCATCGAGGGAGTAGAGAGAAATCCTATCGGGGAGCTTCAGAACATCCAGTTGTGATTTTTTGGGGATGATGAAGTCGAGGTGAGGGGCGAGGAGGGGGAATTCGGTCGCGATTCGCTGGCGGATAGCGCGCTGTGCAGACGACTTGAGCTTGGATTTTTGCGGATGTGGAAATCTGTGCGCCGTGTAAGTGATGAGACACTGAGCGCTGAAGGGCAAGCTTACGGCTTTTTGAACATGGTGATGCAGATGCAAGGTTCAGTCTTGTATGACTGGCTTCACTGGGGGGGTAAAAATGTGGATGTGGAGCTTGCGCTGAGCTGTGATGGAGAGCAGCCCCGCGATTCACCAAAGACGGGTAAACTCGTGATTTGCCTTGAAGCTTACTCTAGTGCAGCCATCATGCGCTATCACTGGGATAACTTTGTAAAATGCGGCACAAGCCATGGATACAATCTTTTCTTCCCAATTAAACACTATATCACATCCATATCATGATATCCAAGCCCCAGTCTATTTGACATAAGCCCCCACGCCACCTCTTAAGCTACATCTAAAACTCATCCTCCCCGCTTCCTGCAATGATAACATTATTCACCTTCAACACCATCCTGCAAAGCTGCGTCGCCAACAACAACTGCTGCCTCTTTCCGATCAACGGGTCAATCACAAAATGCTCCCTCATGTCATTGCTTCCTGTCGCCATGCAGTCAACGCCCAGGCGGGAGTTATTCTCCCGGATCTGTCGGCTCTTGATGGCTGCAAGGGTTTCAATGGGCGAGAGACCAGAGTTCTCAGCAAGGGCCATGGGGATGTTGTCAAGAGCGTCGGCGAAAGCACGCATGGCGTATTGTTCAATTCCAGGCGTCTGGGTGCGGTTAGTATGTATCAGGAGAAACGGGGCACAGATGCGAACCTTGTCTGCGGCATCCGACACAGCAATGGAGCAAGCAATCTCTGCAGCTCCACCTCCATAGACGATACGGTTGTCTTTGACCAAGTTTCTTACTACACAGAGAGAGTCATGGAGCGCACGCTTGGCCTCATCGATGATCTAATTGTGTTAACAGTTAATCATGGGGGCAGGATGACCATCCTTCTTACCATTTTGTTACTTCCTCTCAGGAAAGCAGTGACAGCCCGGGTATTGGCACACTCTTCAATCACCAACATTCTATCCCGTGTTGTACCGAAAGACAACTCACGAACCAAACCAGCGTGACCAAGTTTCTCCGCTGTTAGATCCTCAAATCTAGGCACGATCCTTCCCTTCGTCGCAATAGCAATCAACTCAATCTCGGGACCACCGACCCATCTCACAGCCGGAAGCTCATTCTGCAACAACAAATGATTCGCCTCGTCATCGAACCCCCACTGGCAGATAACCAAGTTTGCGCCAGT